TTTTTTCGTTTGGGGCCTAATACCCTAGAGTAATAAACTGGGTGTTTCTTGCGGTTACAATTCCTTTTTGTATAGTCGCTGGGGGGGGCTGCGCCCCCCCCAGACCCCCCCCCTCAAAGGCTGTACGGTTTGCTGTACACAACACCGGACGTCTGGAAACACACATGCCGTACCACCATTTGCGCCAGTGTCTCTGTGGGCAGGGTGTGGAGCCACTTTGACTGTCCATAAACGTCGTGAGCACGCGAAGGCAAAGTTATATATATGTACACTGTCGGCACCATCAACACCACTGCATTGCACCAGCCGCCGACCAGTTGCTGGCTGCCTCACGGCGACCAGCTTCTGCGCAAGTTCGTTGGCCGTCAGCCCAGCTCCATCCGCCAGCACCTCCAGCAGCAAGCTGGTGATGTTGTCCGCTGTCGGTGCCGCCTCCAATTTTGCCAGCTGTAGGACATGAAAAGAGAGACAACAGAGACTTTAATGGGGTCTATCCGCGGCCAAAAAACAGTTGAAGGAGGAAGCCGTCTAGACTGAGGAATTTACCAGCAATTCACCCCGGCATTACGTCAATTTTAAACCTTAAACCCATCCCGGCCTTACATCAATGCACAGCGGGATCCGGCTCCAGCCCTCCATGACGTAGACGTGAACGCAGAGCCGGGACCTCTTGTCAATGCCCGTGGACTCGTCCAGGCTCACGGATACAAAGCGGTTGGCGGTGACCAGCCTGCGGATTTCGTCCATGAGCACTGCATCCAGGGCCTCGGCAAGCTGCCAGGCACTGTTGCAGCTCCAGTGCTCATCACGGTAGTGTGGCACATCCAGCACCTGGAACAGGTCCTTAGAGCCGACGTAGTCGAGGATGGGGCGCCCGTGATCCAGCATGAAGAAGAGCTGCCGCAGCTGCTGCACAACTCCCCTCTCAGACTTGCTGAGTGCTCTGGACAAAAGGTTGTCGATCGTCCGTGCTGTCAGCTGGTGCCGCTCGTGCTGAAGGGCCCGTGCTTCATGGTTGCACATGGCTTCTTGGTGTTTTTTGGTGAGCTCATGGGTTTTTAGTGTGGCCTGCCTGGCATCCATCGTGATGTCCCGCTGCCGGCTGAGGGAGCAGGGACCGCACCGGACACGGTCATGCACCTCGCCAGCCTCCATATCTGGCGCAACACACTCAGCCCATTCGAACAAAGCTGTCCAGTGCGCCTGGAAGCGACGCACTCCCTCATTCTCCCGCTATCTCCCATCGCTTTGGCCTTTCGGCACACGCTGTGTTTGCTGGC